CAAATCAGACAGAGAAAAAGAATGTCCCCTGATAGGAAGTATCTATGTCCTGCTATAGCATTTCCCCTAATTTAGGTTGCATTATTGATGTACAGAACTCTGTACTTGAATAATGTAACAGTAAGGCTCTCACAGAAAGCACCAGCACTGGCTTTAATGTGTGTCTATAAAGATAAGAAAAGTGTATTTTAAAAGTCCAGCAGCTTTCAAACAATGTATTTTCAAGTTACAGGAATGCTCACCACAAGGAATTTAAAATTGAGGTGACAAGCAGGGGACAACATTTCTTCTACAATGCTAACGAGCTACTGCCTTATAAAGAGAAAAAAAAATCAACAAATCTGACATATGAACAAACATTATGAATATTCAGGAAGTTTAAGCCGCTGATTCAACGTTTTCTAGGAGTGTAGAACTTTTGCACTGATCACACAAGCCATTCTTTTTCTTCTCATCATGAGCACACTCGACTGTGGTGTCGGTGTGCTGCTGGAACATATGCGTGGAATTGCAGGGATTGTAATTCATCCAGATGGCAGGAAGCTCTGGAATTGTTACTCCTATGCTACAGATGTTTAACAATCCAACCATATGGCTCCAATAAGGCAGCCTTGTCAAAGAATACAAAAACTGCACTAGACACAGAGCCCTGTAAATGGGAATGCAGTCCTGAGGTGGGAATGTTCATATGGCTGCACTATAAATGCACACATCACACTAGGAAGCTGGCGTGGCTATTGCAATTACAGAATTTATGAAACATTATTTAAACTCCTGAAAACAAACAGGCCTCGTATTTGCATAATTTCCCCAAGTCAGCTATTAAAAGAACATTTCTCATTTGTTTTTGAAATTCATTAAAGGCATCAAACAAAGGTGAGAAGAAAAGCTGGGTAGATAAATACATGTAAATACAATAATGCCCCCAACCTCTGGCCTGAGGGAAATACCTCTGTAGGTAAAAACTGAAATTCGACCAGTGAGACCAACAATTTCTCTAGAAAAAGATTTGTCAAAGTCAGGGAGCCCTGCTGATGCTTGTGACAATTGTAATGTGGAAAGCTGAATGTTGAGAAACAATCTGAGATCAATAATATCTTGGCCAAGAAAGGAAAGCACCATGAAATGGTCAATCTATAACTCTACTGAATTTTGGCAGGTTTGAAAGACAGATAAATGGCAGCAAATCAGATTGTTAAATCATTAATCCTGTCATTATTACATCCTGTCACATTGCATAGATTTAGACATTAGAAAAAGAGAGTAAGGTAGGAGAGTGAAGAAAACACTTAAAAGCTCAACTCAATCTGTGAAGAAAAGGTGAATTCCCAACTTTTTGTTTTGTGGTTGCTGCTTTTCTGCCCAAAAGCCAGCTGGCAGTAGCTGCTGCTCAGAGTCCCATCTGCTGCCCTCTGATGTCAGGTCTCTGACCCTTTGTTCCCCACAAGAAGTGTCTCCTCTGTACAAATCTGTCGTGCAAGAATAAGATTAAAATGGACAGACCGAACAAAGCGTTGGTCTCTCAGACAAAAATGCATCCATTTAGCACACAGGGCATCTTTCCACCTGACATATTCTTAAAGGGAACTATTCAATTACCATCTTCTCACAGGCTAAAGAGCACAAAAGAACCATGTAATATTCTTTTTCCCTTTTTTTTTTTTTTCAGCAGCAAAGTATTCAAAGCTGCTTTATCTACCACAGATACTAATCTAGGCAATATAATTTTAAAACATCCTTACAAAAACCTTGAAGGGCAGTTGAACCCTGTGGTTGTTTAAAAAAAGATTTTCTGCAGTTTATGCATTTGCTCTGCCAAAAGCTTACCTTAGCATACAAAGTACAGTAAATCATAGCTGCTCTGATTTACTGCCCAGACTGTGCTGTTTGTTTTCAGGGACAGCTCAGGGAAAAGCTCTGTCAAGTGTAAGAACATTCAGAGAAGGGGAATCGTTTTGCAAAGCTCCCACAATGGTAACAACATTTCTAAGATATCAGTGAAGGGGAAAAAAATGCAGATGTGCATTTGCAGCATTTCTCAGGAGAGATTTTTTGAATACCACTGCAACCCCAAAATATTTCAAGCCCTTTGGAGGCACAAAGACAACTTCATACCCAAAAACCGTTTAGCCTAAGTGTTAATGAGCTGACCAGTTCTATAATTTACTCAGCAACCAGTTAAATTATTGGACCTTGTGCCTGAATTCCAGATTTTATGGGGCAGCAGCACATGTAGATGCCAAAAAGGAAAAGAAGACATCAGAGAAGTGGCAGAGCAAGAAGCTCTGGATCAACATGGTTATTTAGAACTGAGGGTAGATTTTATTAGACTTAATCTTTTTAGTAAACCCCAACAGGACAAAGATAAAGCCATATATCTGACATCCTTTTAAAAGTTAGTAAATGAGAAGGGAAAAGATCAAAACAGTAGCTGAAAGCTTTCACTTCTGCTTTAAAATCCAAGAAACAGTCATTAATAGAGATTTAAACTCAGCCCTCTCTAGTCTAAACATGTCACTGTTAATTACAAAGCTATTTAACTTTTGCAAGAAATAAAGACTGCTATTAATGAAAGAAGAACCAATTAGCCTTTAATCTACACACTGTTTTTTAATCAAACTTTCTTTTGATCATCAGACTCACTGCAGGATGTATCCCTCCTCCCCATGTTGTAGTGGCTTCCATGATTGCTAATGGAATGGATTTTAAAGGGCTGGCTGAGCGGGGAGAACCCTCTCTGCAGGGCTGGAGCTTCTCTCCCTGCCAGGAACAGCTCAGGAAAGTGGAATTTTGTGTCCTGACCACTCCTGGAGCAGCTGCCTTTAGAGGATTAGCACTGAATGTGTCTAGAGGAACGTGGGACAGGAGTACTGGACAGCATCATTAGGAAAAATTTTTTAAAAAAAACAACAAAAAAACAGTTTAAAGAGAAGTAAGAAATGGGATGGAAAAAGGCAAAAGCAGAGAAGTGCCTCCAGGAATGAAAATGGAATTCACTGCTGACTGCAAAGAATGATGAATGAGAGAATTTGCTTGTTGGCACAGGAACATATTGTGGAAAAAACAAAACAAAACAAAACAAAACAAAACAAATGGGATCAGGGCTTGATGTGTTACAAACAAAAGGGGTGACATGAAAGGGATCCCATTAGCAAAATATTGTGCCTCCAAACTGTTGCTTGAGGGCTCAGAGAATTGCAAGGAGGTTTTTTGTTTGGTTTTGGGTTTTTCTTTGCTGTGTGGCTACTTGTAGTAGCAAAATATTAAGTCCAAGCATCTGGAATCCATCATGATGGAGAACTTCTTCCCTGACATCATTTCCCTCTCAGCTGTTGCTGCTCCGATCTCCGGGAAGGACGGAGAGCAGATGTCCCTGAGCACACAACAGGCTGATAATGAAATACAAGAACCTGACTCCTGCACATGTAAACAGCAGAGAGAGTGTGACTATTATCTGCTCTGTGTCAAACACGGGGCTCTTGGGCTGACCAGATACCTGCTGCCTGCTCTGCATTAGCAAAATATCAGTCTATGCTGTTTCTCCACCACAGAAAGATAAAATTTGCCTGGCGGCAGCAGAACACTAATACCAACAAAAAAAACCACTTGAAAACAAATGTTAATATCCTCAAAGAATCAGAAAGTCTGGAGAGATTTATTGTTGTGACAGTATGGCAATTAAAAAAAAACAATTTAAAAATAAAAAAAAAAATCGATAGATTGCAGGGAGAAAAGTGATAATAAATATGCTCTGTGTCAGACAGGATTCTGAGTGGTGAAGTTCAAGACTGTAATAAAAGTATGTGGAACAACTGCTGATATGGTATTGACACCTGAGGTATTTGAAGGTAGGTACATACTTAACCATAGGAAGGATTCCAGCAAAGAAAATAGGTTGCAATTAATGTTTTCCAGGACTTGACTAACAGCATTTTGCACTTCAAAAGATCAAATTATTACACTTTCTATAAAATAATTCTAAGGCCTTATCTGAAAGGGCTGGTTATTTTTCACAGTCCAAACCCCCTTAATGTAACTTTGGCATAAAGGTCACTGAAAATGAGATCAGAGCCCATTCATGGTTTTCAGCTGCTCATGTATTACAATATGAGTCCAACACAGGAACTCAGATAAAAATATCAACAGAGCTAAAAAGAAATAGCTGTAAACCACAGTGCCAAGATACTTGAATTTAGCTGGATAATTTTATCATTTTCACACTTATTCCATGGCATTATAAACCTTTTAATAAAATTTGGATTCTGATGCTGATCAAAACCTCTTTGTGTTTTTCTTGTGTCATAATCTCAAAACACAAAACCTAGACAAGAGAAACCATGTCCACTCTCCTTTTGCACACATGCAGAACACACAGAAAGCTGCAATACTGAAAACATGTGACACTAATGTACAGAGTATTTTTAATTAACAAAGCTCTTAGGCATTGCTGAAAGATCCATTTTGGTTTTTGTCCCCTCCCATATTGACCTAAAACACTCCAGAGCTCTGTATTTATTTATACAGTGTAGTTGGGAGAAAGTTCTTCTGACATTTGAGGAGATTTAAAAAGTTAAATTGTTGACAGGAACCATTGTGAAAGAAAATGAGATTTTAACTCATTTAACTCTCGAAGTAAGGACTTTCAAAGGTAAGAGGCAGAAACTTTACACTGCTGCTTAAATTATGTGGTAGTTTATTCCTGAGTGTTTTCAGTTCCCCTAATTCCTCAAAATTGGTGAATACTTGCATTAATTACTCCCTAAAGTAAGCTCTGATTCAAGAAGGCACTAAGGAACTTCATTAACTCCTTCCCCAATGACTTCAGCCAAATTTCCCTTACTTACTTGAGATGCGCGTACCCAGAACACCCCAAAATACTCTGTACCCGCAATTCTGCCAGCGATCAGCGCCAGCTGAAAGCTCAGAAAATCAACCCCAGTGCCTTTAATTTATCTACAGCTGCTTCAAAACCCACTTTGAATTGTGCCACGTGTACATACGTATGCAGTAGTCCCCGCTCTCGTAGTAGCCGGGGCAGCACTGGGAGCGTCGCCGGTACATCGTGCGCAGCCCCCTGCGATAGGCGGTCTTGTAGCTGATCCTGCACCACAAAACACAAAACCATTGGACACTATTGAAAATCAATGCCTCCTGCTGCCATGATATTTGTGTTAAATTATAGTAAGGATAGCATTCAATAATTATTTTTAAATGCATGAAAGGTTTTTGATAATAAAAGCCGCAATAAGGTAGGAATCGATACTTGTTTTGAAGCTTGAAATATGACTTGTGTTATAAACACTGTGCTCGTGACAGTCACTGGAGCTCTTCCTGGGGCAGCTGCTGTCTTAAAACATTTTCCCAGTCCTGCTGCAAGGGCAAGGAGCTTCTTCAAGAATAAATGATTTATTTTTGCACATCAGCAAGGTCAGCTCTCATCAATGGAAGGAACAGAGTCTTCTGCAGAGACCACTGTCTCATCTGCTACATAAAAACCTTCCCACAGTGGCAACTGCTCTCAATGCACAACTTGAGAAGTTCACCCCAGGTGATTTGTTCCTGCCTGCTAACCCTTCCAAGGCACTCATTCCTTGCAAAGTGCCATTATAGTCCCAGTTCAGTATTTAAAGCCTGTTTTCCCCACTACAATACAGAAGTTAAAAGGTGTTTAGCATTCTGAAGCATTCCTACGTTTATTCATAGCAAGGATATCGCATTAGAAAAGTAATATTTAACTACATATTTAACAGCAAACACTTCAAAACAGCTTTGCTAGTTTATGGAAATTATCTCAATTGAACAAAATCTATTGTTCCTCGTGTTATTTAAACGGATCGAATTTACTCTGCTGCATTCCAATCTATACAATATTCCAGAAAGCTCTGCAGCCCTGTTCACTTCCAAACATTGTAACTCAGGAGTTAAAAAGCCAAGTGCCACAGTCCTGCTGGGATGGTGGGGACAGCCAGCTTGCAACTGAATGAGTGAGAGCTGAGATACAAACTGGCTTCTAAAACCCCCTTAAAAGATTGAGAATATTAGTGGATATTTATTAGGATACTTTGGAAGCAGAATGAATATAACAGCAATATCCTGCAGCCTGGGAAAAATTAACTCCTTGGTAGCAGTTTTCATTCAGTCCCAGAAATGGGCTAATCTTCATTTTACCTGATTTTCAGTGCAGATTTGGGTGCAATTCTAATTCTAACACAGGTCCATTTCTAATTATCACTAACCCTCAAATGCCTGATAATTCACAATTTAAGAGGTGCATGGACTTCCTATGGACTTTTACAAACCTGGACATGTACCAATGACTTGGAAAGCAGAATTTGCTTATGCATGGTCAGGGAATAAACACTTCCAATCCCATGGCAGGGCCAGTGGAAGGATACTTTCTCCTGGATGGCCCCATGAGGGACTGACTGTCACTGATCTCATTCAAACTTCAGGCAAAAATCTCTGTATTTCTATTCAATACCCTGGAATTCCTGTCCTAAAACACATCTTTGTGTACACATCTCTATTGGAGCACCACAAACATTTGGATAAACAAGAGGTGTGTGAGGAGATGAAAAGGCAGAAGGGAGCTCAGGCTTCTGAGGATTAGTTCTTACCTGTGCCTGGTGCACTTGAACCAGTTGAGGATGTCTGTGCATCGTGTGTAATAGATCTGGTCAAAGGGATGAGCGTAAGATTCCTGCACGGTCACGGCGTAGCTGTGAGTGGACAAGGAAGGAGGTGAGAGCCTGTTTAGGGCCACATGAAAAGCTGCAGTTCCCTGGATCTGCTGCTCATGGAACCCCAGTATGAAACATATTTATATCAACAGTCTTAGAAGCTCTGGGTATTAGCAAAGAGCAGAAAAGGGCTTCCTTCAGCTAGACCTCTTCCTGAAAAGGTTGGAAAAGCTTGGCTTCATGGCTGATATAGGCATAGGATATCGCTGTGAGCAATAAACCATTCTCTTTTAGGAAAAAAACAAATATTATTAAAATTCATGAAAATTTAGAAGGTGAAAAAGTGAATGTATATGGACAAAATCTGGGCAATTTGATGAGAAATCACAGAGCTCCAATAATAGCAAGAGCTGAGCAGTCTTCCCAAAACACCACTTAGCCATGCAACAGGTTCTGTGTTCACTATTGATTCCCATGGTACAGGAACCCAAATCTCATGTTGGGCTCAGTCATGGCAGAGCAGTGCCCCATAGCAGGTGTGTGCACTGCTCAGGGGACTCCTCTCTCAGGGGCTGATCTGGACACAGGCTCCACTTTGTCAGATCTACAATATCTCCAGAGAACAATACACAAATCACCCCAGGCAGGTCAAGACCCAGGAGCTAGATCTCTGGGTCACTCATTATATCGATTGTCTTAATTCTGCAGCTGATTTCCCTCTCATCAGCAGGACTGCAGATGTGATTAAGCCCTGGGAGATTGCACCCACAAGCTAATACCAAGGTATTTGCTTGGAGGGGCTGACTGGTTTGAAATCGAAGATTGGGCTGTTCCTGCCCTGCTTGTTGTGTCCCTTCTAGACAAGCCAAGGTTCCCCTGGATGTTGCTTTGCCCTCTGTCACTGTTTGCTGGGTTTGACAATAATGTTTTTATTTCTGCTAATGCCAAAATATAAAATATTTACACTGCTCATTATTAATGTAAGACAGTAACACTTGCAAATCTCAATGATTATTTTACGATCCCGTTTATTATCCAGCAATAGCCCTAACAATCTTTTCCCTTTGATTTATTAACATCTAACTAACAAAGTCATCTTGGTCAGTACAACCAATCAATTTTGGTATTTAATTTTTGTTTCTCCTTGATTGGGTCTCTAGGTTGCTGACTTTCTTCAGACAAAATCAATATTTTATTCCTGTGCTCTGAATGCACTTCCAGCACGCAGACTGCAAAATCCTCTTCCTGTACGGTCTTTGCTTTGCAGTTGCATTATCTACAAAGAGTTAATTCTCTAATTAAGGCCTCAAAACATAGCCATTAAATATGATTCTATTTTTACCTTTGTTACGGGGTATATTTTGCTGAAGTGTACAGCAATTCAGATTTGTGTGGAATTGAACCAGAGAGCAGAACTGGAAATTTGGCAGGTTAAACTGAGAAGTGCAGGACCTTTAGCCTCTGCAAACAGCCCCTGTGTGAGTGTGAGCCCCATCAAAGGCTGTGGGTTTCTCTGTGCTCACAGGAACTGGCCTGCTCAGATCTACTTTTAGGACCAGGACACTGGAACAATAGAGAGAACAAGAAATTCCAGGGCCTTTCATGTTCAGTTCACTTTTGTTCACTCTTTGATGTCGACACGAATTTGGCAGGAAGAGCCCCAAAGTTCAGGCTAGACAAAACCAGCCTGGATGTTACAGCAGGAAGGGCTTCAAACTTTCTTGCTGGACAACAAGCAGAAAAATGCAGGCCAGAACAAGGCCAGGATTTCTGTGGGTCTCTCCATGATAAATGCAAACACTTCAGTGCACTCCTGTCGCTCAGAATCTAGAGGAGCTTCCCAAAGGGCACAGGAGGATCTGGCCAATAGCTGTAGCCTTGGGATGAACCAAACCCCCAAGGCACTCAGAAGTACTATTTCTTAAAGTAAATCTGTGCTCTTTTCTGAGATGTGGTGGTATTTAGCAAATTATGGCTCTCAGCTTGCCTTGTAAATGTAAAAAAATCTGAGATGGATGGTAAAAAAATAAAACTGGCAGGTTACACATTACCTTTCCCAGTGACTACAAACATTTGGATCATCTGGATTTAGGGACAGAGTAGTTTTCAGCAGAAAAGTCAGAATAAGCCCTCTCAGAATCCACTGGAACAGCACATGTGCCACCATTGTTGTACCTAGATAAAGAGAAGAAAGTAGAGCCATTAAAGACAATTTTGAAGAAAATATCTTTCCAGGCCTTTTCCTCCTTACTTTTGTGCAAATCCAAATACTGGGGAGCTATTCAGAAACTGAAATACTTGAAAAAGCAATCAACTAAGCAGTAAAATGCTTTAAAAGTTCAAATCCATTCTAAAAGGAATTTATACATTTAAATCTAATAAAAGCAATGAATTTGATGATTAAGCCACCCAAGATATTGATAGACCCAATGATTCTTCCAAAGAACATTTCTGATACTGATTATTTTTATGATAGGCTGTCTGTACTGACAAATAAATCACTGAGGTATTAAAGCAATCTATTCTTCCATCAACCTACAGGCGAGAGGGAGAATACCCAAATGCCCCCTTTGATTTATTTAAATGGGGTTTACAGGTGTCAATATGGGCTGGATGTGAGACTCGTGCTTATTGCATGATGGAAGGAAAATCAATGCACTCCTCAAGCCTTGGATGGGAAAGCACTGAGAATTACAGAGGTCAGAGCATTGGGGCACGTTACACAGAACACTGAACATGAAATATAATATTTGAACTCAAGTTGGAAAGAGATTGTACAAAATTCACTGGGTGTGGTCTCTTCATCACCTTCCTGTTCATCTGTTAAATGTACTGACTTACACCTGCTTGGGGCTTTGAAACCAAAGTTTGGTGTTGGCCTAGAAGTCTCCAATGACACCAGTCAAAAATTCAAAAATTCAAAATAGATAGAAAATAAAATTGCTTTTTTGGTAACAGCATTAGAGGTGTTAATCTGTAAAACATTAAGTCAGGAAAAAGTATTTTTAAATATCCATTTCAGGCATTTACACGGACACATAATTCACCATTCAAATCAGAAGTCCTAGAAATTATTCCTGGCAACAAGATTGCCCTAAAAATAGATTGAATCTTCATATGATCATCAAAAAACCACATGGCTCATTGCCTCAGGGTCCGGAACAGCAAAGGGATGTTAAGAGGTTTGCTCTGCAGGGCCCTGATATACAGCCCAGCATAAAGAAGACATCACAAAGCAGAATGAAGAGCCAGGAAATCTGCTCAGAAATTGCCTCCTGACCCAAAGCCTTCTTAGCCAGTTCAAGGACACCCATTGCCTTTAGTGGATTCAAGTCAAAATCCCAATGGGAGCAATAGCTCATCTTTTAAATTATTCCTAGAGTGCTGCTAAACCCAAAGATAGGTCTTGTGCCATGTAAGTCTTATTAATGTTAATTAACATGATTTAATGCTAATGTTCCCCATGAAATGGGTTTAAGTCAAGGAGTGACCATTTTTTACCTGTGGGCTTTTCCAAAGTCCCACAGCAACAATGCAAAAGCTTAGTCTGGAAATCCAGAGGGCTGACGAGGCAAGGAGGTATTTATGGAAAAGCCACAGCCTATCCTTGTCCTGGGCACTTCTTCTCCATGGAGGAAAAGTGTCTGGAAGGGCTGAGCTGCCAAAAGTCCCAATGTTCAAACAGTGAGAGCTGTGGGAGAGCAGAGCTGCTCCTTCCCTGAGCACAGCATGGACAATGGATGTGAACAGCCCAAGGGTGAGGCTCCACAAGCTGGCAGCCCTTTAACACAGATCCCTCCCAAAAACATCTTTAACTGTGCCAGCAGCACTGCAATCATGCCAAAGCACAGGGGACAAGTGTTTCTTGTATTTCCAGGTTGTGATTTACCCTCCTTCTTCATACTCTGCACTTTTGGTACAGGGCTGAGCAAAAGGGGCTAAAGGAAAGCTCCTTCTGATGAACAGATGTGGGCAAAGCAGGAGCAGGGCAAAGCTGCTCCAGGAAATGCAAATCTTCAGAGAGGGCTTAAATCTAAACATAGTTCTGTGAAACTTCTCCCCGACTCCAATTTCTTCTCTTTTGGTACCAACTGAAGCCAGTGCCCTTGAGTTCAGGAGAAAGCAAACTTTCAAGAAAGATTTGCTTAGAATACACAAGATGCTAAGAAAGAGGCTCTTAAGATCACTCATTCTTGCTGAAAATTACCCATTCTTTATATTGAATTTTATATATCCTTTATATTAAAGTACTCCTTACAAAATAAAAATAAATGAGAATAGAGCCCTGTTGCCTCACTCACTCTAAAGGGAATGAGGTCTAAAGCAGCCCCATATTTGAATTCTGTAGTTCTCAGAGACCTCAATTTGTTCTTAAGAAAATGGTGCCTCAGTTTAGTTTTTAAACCAAACAAATGTCAGAGAATTATTTATAAGCCCTAATAGCACCCAGAATATTTTTTGCAGTGTATTAGAAAGAGGTTCCGAATTGTTTTCTGAACTTTTATTGCTAAAGCTCTGTTATTATCTGTTTGTGAGGGAGCTGCTTTGTGTCATTAATTTCCTAACTTTGTAAGTCAGATCGAAGATCAGAACCATCCCACTCCCCAAATCTGGCAGAACCTCATTCATCTCAAGTGTCTTTTTTTGTAACACACATGAAATATTTCACTTTGATCACTGCTAATAGAAAAGCCCTCACACCAAAATGGAATGGTTGCTATTACAGGAGTCAGAATAAAACTCTAAAAATAGGAGCACACATATTAAAAACCAATATCAAAAAAGAATCCAGTAATGACATCTAATACTGGGCTTTCAGCTTTCACTGCTCACCACAGCACATAGAAAATTTCTGCCTCAAATTCAGTGTTTGGGACACATTCTCCAAGGAGGAAGCACCAGCCTTGAGGGGGACAATGCCTGTAACTTCATTAAATCTACAGCCAAATTATTCAAACAATTCCAGTGTCTGCCACTCTCCCAGGACAGCAGCCTGGGGGGCTAAACACCGAAATAAATGACACAAAGGTTGTCTGTGCAATGCCCACATGGACACTTTTTGTCTCTCCAGGCCTGATTTTTCTTTTCAGAAGTGAAAGAAGCTAATTTAGGTAAAATTTGGCAAGAGTCTTTCAATCCAAGGGACAACTGGGTGGTTCTTCACAGGTGTCTCACTGTTAATTATAACTGATTAGGTATCTGCTGCTCCTTAGGCCATTTTCTCCTATCTTCCTCCTTTTCCAAAAATTTCAGTATTTCACCTGCAGTATTGATACAAGTCAGTGGTTCCATCACAAAAGGAAAGAAAGTTCCAAATCTTAGCTATAGAAGAACTAGTAGGTGGCAAGTCATTAAATTATTTGTTTGTGGAGTCTCTTTACAAAAAAACCTTCTTTGAGAAAACTGTACTGGGGTTTGCAAAGAGACCTCGAGATGCAGATGATCCTTTAAACTTCATGGACATCAGGGTGTGGAAAAAGCAGGTCTGATAATCTCCTGTATCAGCAGTACCCCTGAGGGTAGGACCTACCTGCAAAGATCTCAAAGAATCCTTGCTGGGTGAAATAAATATCCTAGAAAGCTTTTCCTAGATGTTGAGGACTCAGTTTTGGTAATATTCTTGTGAAAAAAAAGACCAGTGTGTACTTTAAGTGGCCGAGGGAAAAAAAAAAGAAACCCAAAACTACAGGTTCAATTTCTCCTCTGCTTCCTTGGCTGACAGGCTAGAAAATCTAACTAAAAATGACCATTAGAGACTTTCCTGTTCAGGGCCAGAAGTGCTGAAACATTTCATTTTGACATCTCTGTCATAAAATATTTCATAACATGATTTTGACATGAAATTCAAACAGTTTCCAGTCCATGACAGATTTCTAAACTGAATGTTTTTCTCTCAATTTGGGATGAAGTGAGCTCTAAACCAAGCACAAAAAAAGAAAAACAACCTAATTTTGTGTCTAGCTGTAAGCAGAGATGTCTTTCACTAGCACACACCATTCTTAAATGCTTATCTACTTTGGAAGATCATAAAGTCTAAATGTTTATTCAGTTAACCTAGGCTGAATTTTCCCCACGAATTTCCGAGTGACGCATTTAGCAAAGAGCCATTTTAAAAAATCTTACCTTAAAGTGCTAAAAACTCCCAGTGGATCTTTTTTTTTACAGATCCCCAGCTCATGGAGACACAGGGCACATCAACAGGAGAGTGAAAGAAAGCTCTTGGGAAGGGGCTTGGCCCTGTGAGCGATCAGGAAAAACAGAAAACTGGGTCAGAGGAAATGTGTTTGGGGGTGTGGAAACAAATCAAGGCAGAAATGAGACAAAACTTTTGAAATAATTAGATAACAGAACATAATTTTGCTATTTCAAACCAATCCCAGTATCCTGCTTTCAGCCAAGAGCAGGGAACTCAGAAAGAGTGGAAGAACACCAGGGATGTGACACGTCCCTCTTACACCCTCCCAGCCTCCAGAAATTTGTTTCCTATCATTTCCTACCTAATTTTGTTCCAATATAGACTTTTCCTTCTTTAATATCCTAACAACAAAGACCAGTTTCTTTCAGGAAGTTTGATGCAAGCCCTTGCAAAAAACCTTTTGGAAATCCAACTGCACCTTCTTGATGCACACGTTTACTTTGAAGAGCTTTCACAGGTTAAGAAGGCTTTACAAAGCCACGTTGATTCTTCAAAAATGTATTGTATACATCAAGATAAATAATTCTGTTCTTAACTCTAGTTTCTACCAAACAGGAAAATGAGGTGTGCCAAAATGAAAATGGATCCTAGTATTTGTGTGGGAGCCATCGAGGAAAATGCAAGAGAGTGGTTGAGCCAGGAAACAAAAAGTTGGATTTCACTGGGGAAGCATTAAAGTGACGGAGTGTTTGCTGATTACACTATTTTAGTCTCTAAGTAGTAGCAAGCTTCCAACAAGCTGCCCTTGGTGGCATTCCTTCTTCTCATCCCATCTGAAATTTTCATGATAGTTTAGGCAAGGGATCATTTAAACACACACTTCATTTGGCTCCACATCAGATTTTGTTCGAAACAAGCTGTTATGAAAGCTAAATGAGGCCATGAGTTTCAAAACTGATCAGGGCTTTTTGGATGCCTCCATTTACGATTAATAACTTGAGATACCATGAAAGGACTGGATAATTTGCAGAGCTCAGGATACCTGCTCAGAACAGCTTGTTTGAATGTGGGCAGTCAAAGAACAAATCCATTCAACCTCACCAGTCACCTCTAAAAGTTGTTGTCATGACCAACAGAAATATTGCCAGTGACAGGTTGTGGTTTTGTTTGTTTTTTAATGAAAATTTAAAGCTGTTTTAAAACAGATAAACACTTCCAGGAAGGATCAGGTACTGAATACAAAAGCACTGACAATGTGATTCTTATCATCTGAGCACAGAGAAATTCAAGTGATGGAAGAAGCAGCAGAAACAGCAGAAACAGCAGACTGTGCCCTGAGCTGCCGTGTTCCCTCTGCTGACACCTTGCACAATTAATGCAGGAGACAGGAGACAAGAATTAACAAGTAATTAACATGACTTGGGAAATGAAAGAATAAATGCAAAAGTCTGAGATTTTTCACAGTTTACAGGGAAATCCTGCATCTTGTGTCCTGTGTGCTCAGTCTCCACAGCCACCACCTCTGCTACATCATCCTGTGAAGTGGGTGCTGTTCAGTACTAACAAAGGAAGCAATTCCATTTCCAAGATCTCATTTTAGAGGCTCTATTTTAAAGCCTGAATAAACACACCAGGGTCATAATCACTGCAGTGCCCTCATGACTCTCCCTGATACTCTCTGAACCACAGTTGCTTGGTTTTCCAAGACTGGGCTGGGAGACTGATTTCAACAGGATCTGAACATCCAAAACTCTTAAATTGCTTTAAATTTCTAATCTCTAGAATACATCAGTGTGAGTTGTGCTTATTAGAGAGAACATTGTTACAGTTCCAGGGATAACTTATGAAGTCTGCAGATCTGCTTCAGTGCTAACGCTTTTCTGAGCTGACTTCTGGAGTCATCAGGAGCTTGGCCACAGCTAAGTGAGAATAAATAATGAAGTAAGTGCTGCTTAATCTATCAAATGTTATTTTTGGAAGCTCAAGATTGTTCCTTCAGTGCTCTCAGAGGAAAACTGGGTCAAAATACCACAGAGATGTGTCAGAGGCAAGGAATCTGGGCAATTACTTCAGTTATGGCTAATGAAATATGTTTATCAAGACAAAGGCTGGTGGATGTGTCTGGGCCTCTGTTTAAATCACGCTGGCAAAGATTTCAGGCCTGACACTGGCTTAGCAGAGTGGGCTGGGCTGAGGTGGCCCAAATTCACCCCAAGTTCTGCATCCAGTGTTTTCCATCTGAGCCCACACACAGCACCAGGCTCCAGAACTTCAGGTGGAATTAAGAACATGCAAGTTCTCAAAGCCTCAATATCTTCCCTGAGGAAGAGGACTGGCCAACCTGCCAGGTGCTTTGAAAATAAGCTTGTTACAAACTGAAAAGTGTTAATACACTGAAGCAACAATGTGCAAACATGTTTGGCATTCCCCATCCACTCCCTGAGATTATCATCAGCATACAAAGAGGTGCAGACTGGATTTTGTCAATTCTTACACAAACTCCATGAACACTTGTGCAAAGCACAACTACTCATCCAAAAAGCTATTATTCACTACAGTGCTAAACTTTTTCTTCTTAAATAATTGAACAGTTAATCAATAGTCCAACAGAAATATAATGAAAATATTGCATTAACAACACCTAAAAACACTGCTGAACCAGTGCCCAAATCCACATAATTGCTGGCTTCTTTTCAGAAAGGTCAGCTTGGAAAAAGATTTTCTGTGATTTTCTGCCCATAATTTTGTACTTGGATACTCGACTACCAGTGTAAAACTGGAAGCCAGCCCTTTGAACATTTGGCCCTTGAAGTTACCAATCCAAACTCAAGCCCACTGAGATGTTTGTGTTCCTGGTAGTGCCTGAGTTGTCCTTCCAAGCCCTGCCAGCCAGGACAGGGGCTGATGTTGCACTTTTCTGCCAAAAGCAGCTCAGTGCTGGAAGGCTACGAAGGCAAAACCCTGAAGGACCCTGAAGGATTTCACCCCAGACATTGTCCTGCAGGCTGGGAGACCCTCCTGGGGCAGCTTTCTGTGATCCCTCCCCATTAAAACATGGGAAACAAGGAAAGTCAGGAGGAGGCACTTTGTGTCTTTGGCTGCTCCCTTCACCTGAGAGCTGCGGCAGGGATGGCCAGGAAGGAGCCAGGCTTGGTGTCCTCTCCACTGCTCCCACAACTCTCAATTAGTGGAATGTTAAAGCTGCTGGAATCTGTGTGGGGAGTGACACTAGCTCCTGATTGAACAGTGTATTTATACCCCCCTTCCCCTTTTCAGAGATGCCTCCACAGACATTCCATCAGGAGAGAAAGTGGCTGGCACTCATCAAAGATCTCATCTCTGAGAAGCCAAATGAGCTTGAATTGAGCTCACACCCAGCCACCCACCCAAGCCATGTGCAAGATGAAAAACAATTCCAGCATATGCTTCCTTAGACACTTAGAGCAACAAAGGCCTCCAATCCCCAGAACACCCAGCATAAATAAAGCAACCCGAGTGTTACAGCCATGCCCAGATGAGGAATAATGTTTCTAAATATTTAGTTTAAAAACCTCAACTATTTATTCTAACAGACTTTTTTACAGCATTTAAAGAGTGCTCATGAAGTTGATGTGAAAATGAGAGTAACAGGCAATAAAAGAAAAGGATGTTCAATAGACACACCATGAAATAAATTAACTGTGATTTGTGAAAGTGCTGTGAAAGTCAGAAAAACAAAAAGTTTGAAAATGCAAAATATCCTTTACGGTTATATATTTTTTAAAATTACTTCTATTTGTCAAGAACAGTTGACCCTTTCTTTTTGTCTTCATTTATCTCAGAAGAAAATAAAATGAAACAAACAGCAAAAAAGTCCCAAGTACAGAGAACAGCTGAGCCAGGGACAAATTAAGTAACACAGATTGATGGCTGTTGATCTACAGCAGTACCATCACATCCCAATGCTACAGCTCATATTTCATTTAAAGACCCATCTCTCCTTTTCCAGAAACAGTGCAGTATTTATGGGAGAAGGCTGATTTGCAAGCCTTGGAGCTGCACTGAGAATCCAGATTCAGTTTTTCCAGTTTGGCTTTAAAGTTGGTGAATTCCTTTTGAGGTACCAATACAACTAAAATGAAACCAAACACTGGAATAAAATGAACACTGAAACTAAACATGTATTTTTAAAAATGCTACAGACAGCAAAAAGCTTTTTATCTTCAGTATCTTCACCATGCAGAAAGAAAATGTTTCCTACCTCTGCACCTCCACCTTTACTGACCCCACTGGTCCAACAGCACATTATCCTGGGGCTTTTCCCAGAGCTTTATCTTCCCTGGCATTCTCTATTAGAGCATCATGCAGGTTTCCTCCTCCTGCATTTCATTCCCCTCTCTGCCTCTTGAAACCTTAATCTAAGAGTTTTTAATTTCATAGCTATTAAAGGCATTGATATCCCAGACAGAGCATAACTTTTCCTGTGGATGTCTGGTAAGTATAAGATAAACGTTCAATCAATTTTTAGATTTCTAATGGCTTAAGAATTAGAGTGGCCACATAAAAACTGCCAATTTTACTTGAAATACAAGAGGTTTCCTCAGAAGCTGCTATAATCCTTTGTGCTTTCCTGTGTTTCTTACAGACACATCTGTAACACTGTCAATACTGCAGAATTGATATTTGGTTCAATCAAAGCCTCAAGTTAGAGGTCCACAAAATCCATCTGGTTTTCAGAGCATGCACAAACCTGCCTGAGTTACTGGTTACTCAGGTGCCTGGCTACAAACTGCCAGATTCAGGCATCTGACATGGAAAAAGGCTGAACAGATGTGTTCTTTGCTAGGACACAATGCTGAGGCCATGGAGAAGGTGTGGAGATCTCTGCAATCGCTGCTGGATTCCCCTGTGAACCAGGCAAGAGGAGTGCTGGGCATCAAAGGCTGGATCTGAGCTGGGGAAAATCTCTGCAAGAAGCAAAATATCTCTGTAATCCAGACTTAAACTTGGATCTCTCAACCACCCAGCACTGAGAGTGGGCCCTTGGGCTGCACCACCACAGAGGCCCCTGATCAGTCTCAGCACAGCGGCTGCAGCTCCACTGAGAGGGGTCTCAGGGGGTTGAGATGGACAAGAACAGTGGCTGCAAATGCTGTCTGCTAACAGCCAGGTCCTACAGCTCCGTGGCTGCTTTCTCCTGTGTGCAGAGCAGAGAAACAGACACTCTGCCCAAAAGTCCCAGCAGATCTAAAGAGTCCTCCAGAATATCCTCACCTTTCCGGGAACCATCACAGACCCTGTTAGAGCAGGAGCTGCAGAGATAAACGAGAACATGACCCCAGCTTTATTTAATTTTACATCACTATGCAAAGCTCTCGACTCTGCTGTCTCCATGACCTACTTTATCTATTGTTTATTTTTTTTCTTTTTCTTTTTCCAGGAAACTCTTCATTAGGGATAAAAGCACCTGGCTTACAGTAACAGGGCACTGTGAAAAATGTTTGTCAAAAAAGTCAAGGGAAGAACAGTCATAAACACATCAGAAAGAGCAAACCCACAGAGAACTGTAGGATTGCAAGGGGTATCTTAGGTAGAAGAAAGGCAAAGAAGATGCACAGGATGAAGTCTCTACTGGTGTAAATGGCTGAAGTCCATTGAGTTCACTGTGCCAGTTTGAATCTGGGGAGGATTTGGATGTGCCAGCTCAGTCCAATGCAGATGGCTCTGGAGCTACTCAGGTTAGAGCCAGTGTCTGTTTTCTGGCAGGAAAATGGGAGCTGGGAAAACCACTATGAACAAAACCAGACCTGAACAACTGGTGTGTGCAACTGCCTTGGCTTCCTCTTCCCCCTCTTCCTAAATTTGACACTAAAAACTTACTTAACTGCTTTGAGAAAAAAGGTTAATGAAAATTATAGAAGAGAGAGTTTATGGGGAAATTTTAGGACTTCATTTCCTTCATTTTCAGATGTACTAATTAAATTTTTTCCTACCAGGTAAGGCAAGCACAGTTTTCTCTCTGTGTTCTTTTCACATCATGCATGTACCATCTGCTGAGTCTTCTTTCTGAGTCCTTTCCAGAGCTTGTTCTCAGCTCCACTGCTCTCAGATGACCAAGGACAACACTTCATAACCAGTCCTTTATCAATCTCCCTGCAGAGGCCAAAAAATCAGAGCTTAAAAGTTGCTTATATATCTTTGAACTTAGTGTGAAGTTGAACACAGCTCACTATGTGTTGAGGTTCTCTGAGCAAACACCCTCATCCTGCTAAACAAAACCAAGCCCAAGTCCTCCTCTCCACAAAGCAGGCACAGAAGATGCTGGCTGGCAGCAAACAAAGGAGCTCCCCATTTTCCCTCAAACACCATCTTCAGCTAAAAAAAAATCACAAGCCTTGAGACTCCTGGTTTTGTTAGCACCACACTTGTGGTAAAGTTGTAAGTGTGAGCTGATGCTGATCTCCCTTGCAGAGCACAGCAGCAATGAAGGGTTTCTGAGCTCCCCATGGGTTATTTCCCTCCTTCCACCTGCTCCAGTTCTTTATCTACATGTTATAAGTTCTGTTTCCCTCTTCAGCCATTTTTTCTGACCATCACCTTCTAGGTGTTGTTATCTCACACACTGCTGTCCAAAACCCCTCTGGAGAATTCCACTTAGAATTGAATGGGAACTTCTTCCCAGATCAACAGCCACTTGCCACATCCCCTTCACAAAACTCACTACAAACAATTGTATCTCTATTTATTTAAAGTTCAACCCAACTCACTCAGTCTCCAAGGGAACCTGTGCAGTTTCTATGCTCTTAGTTATGAATTCCAGCACCTGCTGGGGCTCCAGGAGTGCCATGAGCTGCAGGGTAAAGGGTCAAGATTGTTTAATTCAGTGATCCCTCCTTTGCCACAGAACAAACAAGTTTTTTCTATGCATGAAAATGTTTGAGTGGAAGCAGGACAGGTGATTGGGAACTCTCTTCTGGCCACTCATTAGAATCTCAGCAGCCTGCACACCACTCTTGTATCTTATCCCCTCTTCCCCCTCCTACCTTCTTCCATGGCATTGCTTCCTTCTCATGGGATTCCTTTCCTCAGATATGGAGAAGCTAAACTCCAGCTCATCTCCTCCTAACCCAACTCTTTCCATCATTTTCTGCTGCTAGAGCTGGGCCACACAAAGCTGGAGATATTCAAAGGATGTGTGTGAGCCAGAAAAATCACTGTCCAATTAAAAAACTGCCACAGGGGTAAACAGAAAAACACAACACCAAAATACCTAAATAAATAATTGATTCCTTTTATTATTTTTATCATTACTACTACTTATTATTATTACTTATTAGTAATTTTTATTATATATTTTATTATTTATTTATAACCTGGGCTATTCAAAGAACTCCCAAACTGCTCCTTACACTGATTTTTGAGAAAATGTCCTGTAAAAACACCTTGAAATATCCTTTGGATTTTCTATCAAGCAGAAAAGATGCCACAGTGTGTCCTCCTCATCTGCTGAGGAATGAAACCCCTCATGCTCTGCCAAAGCAGACTGAGGCACAAACAGATATGGGGATAGGACGTGATTTGCTCGTCTGTTTATTTGTTTAAGCTTGGAGCTCACCCACCAGCCCAGACATGCATTTCTCAGCCTGTTTCAATTCTTTGATTTGCTAACTAGGAAGTCAAACAGAAGGTGGGAGTAGGAAGGAGTAGGTGGGAACCAGAGCAGTCAGAAGTTTTTAGAATGTTATTCTAAGGCCTTAAAAATCTGAAAATTGGAAGCTGATTTTAAAAAAATTACAGTTAACTTCTTATTTTTCAGATTTTTTTTTTTTTTAGGATAATGACTCTGACCAAGATTTTTATCTGTAAGTTACTCCTTTGAAGGATTTAGTCAAAATCCTCAAACCTTTAACACCTCAATGAAAACAGGCACAGAAAGGCCAGCTGGAGTCTGGATCGTGTTCTAGCTCTAAAAGATTTTCAAACTTCACAATCTAAACAAAATATTTACTAGTAATATCACACCTTATTATCATGAATTGAGAGTAAATTGAAATTTCATGCAACTGAATAGGCTAATCACATACACAGACATACTTTAGAATCTAGGCTTTTCATGTTCTTAAGTATAAGCAATTAAGGGTAAGAGTTAATGTTTCATAATTATGTCATTGATCTCAATTCCTTTTCATTTTCCTATGAAAGCACTAAACTTACATAAGACACATCTGAGGTTGCTCCTGTTGCTCAGATCCACATTTGTTCTTATCAAATATTCACCTCGTGGCTTGGTTTGGGTTTGTTGGGGTTTTTTTCAGTTTTTGCCTTCACATGAAATTAAAATTTGGAAAGTCTGAATGTATCATTAACTTTGAAAAAAGTACTAAAAACTCATTTAAAAAAATAAAAAGTCACAGGGAGCTATGGGAAATTCTGTCTTAGGCTGGCCTACTAATTAAAATCAGCTATGCCACATTATTTCCACTGTTCAAAAGTATCCGCCTACAGATCTAAAATCTTTTCTGAATGATTAAAATCAGGAGTAAAAAACCCCAAATCTCTTTCCTCTTTCATGTGGAGCCACACAGAACACACTTTTGCAGCTTTCAGAGTCCATTAAAACATCACCTTTGAAAACAGATGCACAAGCAGGCCCAGGAGTGATTTATGCGAGCGGGAGGCTCAGAACTGCCAGCCACTCCTCATGTTCAAAGCACCCCCAGCAGGCTCAGCAAAGTCCACTTTGGATCACTTGTAATGAGGATTCTTCAGACCAGAAAATCAATAATATAATTAGTAAATGGTATGTTATTTCTCAGAATCTTGCCGCAACTTATCCGCCTTTGATCAAGCCGAGTTGACTGCTAATGACGTTTAATATTAATTAATGAAAATGCATGTGATAAAAAGTTCTTTGGAGAACTATCTAATTATGGGCCATAAAAAAATGAAGTCTGTAATAACTGCAATTTATGTTTAGATCAATGACTATTGTTTAGGCCACTCTGAGAAGACATTGGGGTTATGAGTTATCTTTAGCTCCACCTTCCTGCCTGACAGAGCCACTCAGAGCAGATGAGCCACGTCATTAATGAGTTTTGTCTCATTTACAATACCAAGGGCTGCAGCTAAATCCTTCCTCAGCACCTACAGAATATTTGATGAAATTCACTTCTCTTTTGACAATGGATGATTGACAGCAAACCATCACGACTGAAGGTACTGACAAAATAAATAACTGTGGAGATTAAGCAGGATTTCAAAGGAATGACTGCAATCCTTAGGGAACAACGATTACAGAAAGACAAAGTATTTCATTAACTCATAGAAATGCAGCACTTTGCCACCTCTCACTTTGACTGCCTGAGACCCCAGCTATTGAGAAACATTTACATTTAAAAATATTCCAATTTGATGTAACATGTCTAAGTAACTTCTCATGATTGTCAGGCACAGGAGAAAGGCAAAGAGAAATTTTTCATTATTATGAAACACTGTGGGATTCACCAGAAACATCATACTTGCTTTAATAAATCTGGTTCTAAACTAGAAAGGGAGGGTGGAATATATACACTGTGTTAACACCATAGGACAGATTCTATGGTTAATATGTCACATCAGTTAGGTCCAATTTCCCAAGACATTTTGGCTTTGGAGATAAATATATATAAATTGGGAAATATATATATCCTAATGCTCTTGCTTTATATCAGCCATGTAGAGCAACTGACTCTGGGTTTGGTGAGATTATTCCAATCCCATGAACTGAGTACACACCTGATTTACAGCAGCCTTTTCCAATGCAGGTGAGTAAAAAAGGAAAAGCTGTCATATGATCTTGCTCTTCTCTCTAATAACCATACAGAGAAGTATAATAATACTCAGAAATTGTCAATATTCTTACAGCAGCTTCATTAATTCCACATCGGACAGTCCCTGTAGTTCACTGGCACTCTCTTGTCAGTGTGAATGGGGAACACTGAATTCAGAAGTAAACCAAGGTTTTCAATTATCTGAATTCCTGGGGAAAAAAAAATATAATCTTTCTTCATCTCTCCCAGTATGGTTTATTTTGAAAGACAACGTGTGAAATCGCTGAGAGCAGAACATTGGCTAAATAGGTGCCACTTGTTCTTGCCCCAGATGTGAAGGAGCTGGTTGCTCTCAATACAAAGTGATTAATGATTGCTTGCAATCAGCCCTGGAAATCATTGGCATTGAGTGACAGAATGATTCTGTGACATCACACAGCCTCACATCTGATGCTTGTTCTCGGCCACGCTGCTCCTCGTGCTGCCATTCTTGGCACCGTGAGCAGGCTCAAAAAAATTATGGCCTTTATGATGTTCATGAATAAACAAGTTTTCACATGAGAGAGGTTTCTATTTCTTTCTGCCAAATTTATTTTTCTGTTCACTCATGACCTCTCCCATCCCCGCTCTACCTTGTAGGAATGTTCTTTGTACAAATGTTCTGACATTTTTCCATCTCTGCACAAAAATACCTCACTGAATCAGACCTGGAACACCTGACTGCCACCAGATCTCTCTTCTCCTCTGTCACCTCCAAATGACGAGCTTCTACCTCACAGCAAAGATTCACATTATTTAAGTTAATTGCAGTTAATCTTTGTAGTTGCTTTATTAAATTTCTTGCTGTTTTTACCATGCACAAGGTCATCCAGTTCTTCCTCTATTAAAACCCAGTGATACTGTGAAGCTCATTAGTCCCCCAGATTAATCATGGAATCCATTCAAACAAGAGAAAAACAGGCAAGAACTCTGATATCTCATAGCTTTCCCAGCTGAAAACCCCAAAACATAATAAATAAGGAAAAAAAATACAAAGGATTCTGAAGTCAAGCATTCAAGTTACCAAATTCTTCTTAATCCCATCAAGCTGTCTTTTATCATCAAAACTTTACATCTAGAAAATAGAAATACAACCTCTGTGTTCTGCATTCATATTAATTAGAGGCTAAGGAGACTTTCATGAAGAAATAGCTGGGTGTTCATAATTCAGTATACAAAAGTGAAACTCAGCTTGATAAACCTGCTCCTTGTAGTTCATTATTTGCATTTTGCTTCAGTGTAAGTTGTACAAGCATAAACAACAGGGAAGAACTCCTGCTTGGTAAATAATCCACGGAAATTTTTAGAGAGGCTTTTTGGCTCAGTCTGCAGTGGGTCCTTGTGCTCAGTGCCCAGCACAACCAGTATGACCAGTATGACCAGTATGACCAGTATAACCAGTATAACCAGTACAGGGCAGGCTGGTGAGTGCTGGTGCCACAGCAGCCGTGATGCCTTGGAAGGAAATGATGTTTTAGTCTTAGGAAAAGATGGAACAACATCATAACTGTCAGAGCAATTTTCCACCTTGGTAGTTGAACACCTGAACTATTGCTTGTTTTTGCAGTGGAATTATTCCCAGTTTCTCTCTGCTCAGCTCTGAATCAGCTTGGAGATGTGTCATAAACAATGTTTGCCTCAAAGAGCCGCGTGGGCCAGCGCCGAGGAGGGACTTAATGAGGAGACAGTAGTTCCGTAAAAAAATACAAATAAAGAGCTTGGTTCATTTTCTGTAAACATCTGGGTTGTAAATAACTGTAGGCAGGATAGCATTAGACTTAACGTCATAAAGATTGAGTTCTTCATTTTAATTTAAAGCCACCATAATTTTCAGTTTGCATGGGAACATAATCTTGCAGTCTGTTAGCAGGTACCTCAGAAACGTAGCACAAATTAGAACATTCTTACACTTTGCACAGGAAAAACTGAATAAACATCTGTATTTGTCAGGTATTGTTAAGATTTTCCTAGTACTGTTTCCTCGTAGCAGTGCACAAAGAAAGTTTGATTTCAAAATAAAACCCCAGACAACTTACTTAATATATCAATTTTCCAGATTCAAAACAGTTTAATTATTTTCACGCACTAAAAGAAATCCATAAAAAAAAAAGTGAGGTATAAAAGAATAATTTGTTTCCAATGGTTAATCCTTCAAAAAACCACAGGGAAAGAGGCTCAGGATGCAGAAATCATTAATGGTGGAGCAATTGCTGAGTTCTATTCCTAGAAACAAAGAAATAAAGCTACAGCTGGCTCCCAGAGGCAGGTGAGTTCTGGCTGACCTGCCAGGAGGACTCTGAAAAGGCTCATTCAGAATCTAATCAAACTGCTGGTGTGGGGAAGATAAGGCTTGAGTATAATTTTCTAGAAAATACTCTGTAAATGGTTCCAGACACATTTTTCTACTTGATGTCTTTCTTCAAGCTATTGATTCCTGTTTTCATTTTCCTGGAAGTAGCCTCAAAGAGCCAAGTGAGTCAGTCACTGGCACCAGCAATCCCAGCACCCAGGTAGGGATGGATGTGCAGGAAAAGGATCCGTGAGGAGCTGACCCCTCTGCAGGTGTCAGCCCAGGTGTGTGCTGAACATCCTCATCCCACGCCTTGCACAAGCTCAGGAAGGTAAGATCCAGCCCTAGCAAAAATACAGGGAAACACAAGGCAAAGAAAACACCAACTTCCAACAAAAATATCCTCCCAGGAGCCTGAAGAGTCCCACGGCTGTGCTGGTGGGAACCCAGTCTGTTCCCATTCCTGATGAGGAAAATGTGCTTACTCCAGGTGGATGCTGACATGGAACCCTGAGGATGCTCAGTTCCTCTTCATTTTGTTGGAAAATATTATGCAGAAGAAACACAGCTCTAATACAATGTTCCTTGACTCCTAAGGAATCCTGCAGGAGGAAGCAAGTCCACGTGTGTGAACTCTTCCTTTCTCTGATGTGGGTGATAAGCCAGAAAGTTGTTGGGCACCAGGCCAGGGGGAGGGAGCAGGGACAAAGAAATGAATGAGAGCAGAGGTAATTATAGCACTTATTTCGATTAGGAGCAGATCACCAATGAACTCTTTTGCCACTTGTTTTCTCCTCAGGGAAATCTCACTTTCCCAGCTTTAATTTAATCATGGGAAAAATATGTCAAGTATTGATTATAACTAGAAACTAAAGTCTACTACAAGCATGTTCACATTAACACTTTCACTCAGACATGACCTGGAAGAAATCCTCTGTTTGTCTTTCTTTATCCTGATTCCTGAACAGACTGTCTTACAGAGAACAGCATGTTCAAACTTACAAACATCAGTTTGGGTGATGAAAAGTCCAGGAGGGAATTTGTTAAACCACTAAATTTACGTTGCTTGTGATTCTAAGTATAACCAAAAGACACATCTTCCAGTTCTGAGAGCAGAACACAATAAAGTCTCTGAGGAAGTGCTGCATATCAACACAGATTTCAATTTATTGCAGTTTGAAATAATATTCCAGTCAAGTCCAAAAGTCAGAGAATTTGTCAGCAACGCTGTGAAAATCCTAAAATGGTGCTGTTTGTTTATGACCCTTCAGAAATGAAAGAAACAAGTGACACACTGTCACAATGCATTAGTCTGCAAAGCAGGAACAGGAAATTAATGGATGGAAGATTCTAAAAGTGACCCTCTGCCACTTCTCCACACCTGCCCACCCAGGCCACACTCTGCCCTTTGCTCTTTTGTTCGTTCCAGACTCACATCCATGGCACATTTTGAAACTCATCAGTATTAGAGAAAGGCATTGTGTACTTTCAAGTCCTTGAGAAAGTTCCCAAGATGTCAAAGATCTGAAATTAATTCAGACCTTTAAGAGGAGAATGCTTTACATGCACACTCCTGTCTATAATGGTTTGTGTTGTTCTGTAGCCCCTAAACTCATTTAGAGAGCAGAAGCTCAACCCCCTGAATCAAGAACAGGCCTGTGAAGCTGAGTGAGCACCCATCTAAATTCTGGCAGCTGGAGATGAGCAGCTTTTCTCCTGTGACCAACCTCCTCCATGGCAGTGCACAAGTTCTGACAAAGATAACTTCATGTTTGGCATTTTGTGATTAAGGAAGCACTGCCAATTGCCTGTGCTCAGCCTCCCCTCACTGCGATTGCTGTGAGCCCTGCTCTGAGCTCAGGGTGATGCTGGGGTGTGTGTGCTCCCAGAGAAACCTGAGCAGCACAATCCCTTCTGGAACTGCTCCTGCATTTATGTCATACGGCCTTTTATTGCTTCATCTGTACCCCTGTCAGAAAAAAGCTTTCAAACCAAACTCAAAGGAAAAACAGCCAGGTTTGCAGAACCTCATGGAAGACATTCAACAGCTGAAGAGTTCTACTTAGATTAAATTAACTTTATACAGCCTGGTTTTACTCAGAAGTTCCATTTGATTTGGAAAAAGCCAGGATTAATGGTGTTATGCCTAAACCTGCAGCTACAGAATGTGATCTCTGTGTTCAGTAAGAGATCAAGCCTGAGCTACTATAGAAGGGAAGTGAGAGACCTCATTTCAGGTAATATTTGGGTCCTAAATACACCCAGGAAAGCTCAGGAAAATTTCTCCAGAGACACAAAATAACAGCCAGTCACATATTCTGATTTTACAGACATAAACTTGCTAGAAACCTCCTGGAATAACAAATATTTTCCTCCTAACCACTCCAGTCACCTGTAAGAAGAACTAGAGAAAGTTCCTGAATATTCTGCCCATGTTTTTGGTTTGAGTTACTAAGTAATGACATTGTTAGAGAGATTAATGTTAGAGCTTAACTGCTCCTTTAGCACCTGTCCAGTCCACACCTGACAGAGGAAGATAAATATATTTATAACACACAGCAAAGTGAATAACAAATGGTTTATAAAGTTGTCTCTGACAAAACTGACAAGTTGTAGCTGGCAGCTTTAATCAGCTCCCAGCTGAGCCTGGGAAATTGGAGGGAACTGAGCACTGACCTTTCTGATGAATCTCTGAAGGAAGGTTAAAGTTTTGTTTACTTTTTTAATGGGCAGAACTATCAAGTTCTGAGACCTTTGGATAAAAGGAGGATTCCTGTGCGAGAGCACTGTACACTGTATTTAACAAAGTCATTACTGGGTTAAAACTGATTTTTTCCAGTGAAGGATATGGCCTGGTGTTCCAGGAATGAAAGCTCCTATAAGGTTTAATGCCACAAGTAACTGCCAGATGCTGGAAATGTACCAGATATGTTTTTCATGTCTTGAATGTGAAAAATGCAGTAGAATATAATTTAAATTTCATTTTTACAGATCACTGGTTCTTAAACCACCAATTTGATTTCTTTTTCAACAAGTATTCAGCTTCTGCTTCTTTAGTATGGAAACAGTGGGATCTTTCATGTACATTTACTTAACTAGTACCAAGGAGACAAATGCAAGTAATGACCAATTATTTGATCAGCTCTTTCAAAGTAAGCTATAAT